TTGGCTAAGTGACATATTGGATATCGTAGTCGATGGGGCAGCAATATATTGCGGAATTTGTCTCAACATTTAAAGGTGTAGTTCATCCTGATCTATTGACTTCTCCATGTCAAGAGCATTAAGTACATCGTGTCGATCGAAGTTCACAGTGAGCAGACCATTTTTGACTTTGTATTTGGGTATAGTTTTTTGTCCAGAAGAGACTTCTGAGTGAAAACTGTCCCAAAATAGTTTGCCATATCCTCTGCTTTGTCCTGATCATCCTTTACCATTTCAGATCCACTCCCTTTCGTAATTAGGTTGGGGATCCAATGCTGCGTCCTTGTTCTGTAATGTATGCACGAGTATAGTCTCTTAGACTGCTTGATTGCAGGACAGACCAACTTGTGCCAAGGCTGATGGATTTGTTCCAACATTTCTGTCTTAGTAAACATCCAATATGCCGGTCTATCCAGGGATGGCTGTCCCCCTTCTTCTTTGGGACTGTCTAGGGCATAAATAGTTGAGTTGCTTGATTTTATAACTGCCGGAAAGGGGTCCATGCCTCAGCCGGCGCTGCAGAGATGATCGCCTTCATGTCTGTCTTCCATATATTAGGACGGAGCCGGCGCAACTTTTTGACAGACCATCTCAGCCATGAACTTGAATAAGATGACCTCGTGATCACTTCTCCATGAAGGTGGGAGGGAAGTTATTTGACTGACATTGTCCCCGTATGTAAAGATTAGGTCCAAGAGAGATGAGCAGTTTTGTAGGTCATATCTAATGGGATCTCTAATGTGCTGGAATAAAGCTAATGCGATTGTGGTTTCTAACAATTTGCAACCAAATGATATTGATCGTCCTATCACTAAGTTTCCCCAACTTGTAGACAGTGCATTTAAGTTACCTTTATAAGGCTTTTACTCCTATTACACGAGGACTTAAGTTTGCTTAGGAGAAAGTCATCCACCCTTAGGTAAAAGGTTTTTTCACCTCCGGAGGCGCTCATTTATTTCTACCTCTGCCGACCGTCTCTTAACACGACCAACTAGGCTGAGACCCTCACCGACATGTATTCCGGATCCAGTAAGTTTGCGTGCGTTCTCCAGTATTAGGTTTCTTTCTTCAGCAGAAACAAGGGTAACTTTCAAGAGGCGGTTTTTCTGTGTACTTCCAGAACTCACTTTTTCTCCCATTCTACAAAGCTTATAGATGCTAACTCATACTACTGTTACGGGAAGTAGCTTACTTGTTAAGAATTGCATGTGGCTTAGTTCGTGTTCAACCCAGCCTTGCGTTCCTTTTCCGAAGATTATATTTACTTATGAAGAATGACTGACCTATCAACGAGATCCATCTTAACAAGCTGTGAAGCTTTGTTTCCTAAAGTCCCGTCCCTGCAGTTCAATTTGGCGTCAGACGCAAAGGTCTCACTCCTTTCCTTACTTTTCTTTTTCTGGGTGTAGCTGTAAGCCATTCATTGACTTTAATACGTCTCTTGATCACATCGTCTACACCGCTCAGGCTTTGTTCCTCAATAATCTGTTTTGCATTGATATGTGGATCTGGAGCTGAAACTGTCGACTCACATATCTTAGAGCTCCCTATAATTTGTTTCTTCTCAACACAATTTTTCGTGTGGTAACCAAGCCTACATCTGTGAGTTCGTTATCAGCTACGCTATTGGGGTCCACCCTGGTCGTTTAATTCAACTCTAAAACTAGCTATGTTCACTAGCTCAAGAATTATGAACAGCATGCTTTGCGCAACCAACGTGTAGTGGCTTGCGGCACCTTTTACATGCAGTCGGCGTGAGTCCGGTGCTTACGTTGTGATACCGCTTGTTGCAGTTGTCATATTTCATTCCATCCTTGACCGAGAAAAAGCATGCGTGTCTGCCACAACGAAGTTTTACTTGCGCCATAAAATTGTTTAGTGGTCTCAGAGAAAAAAACTGGTCTGTAGAATAAGTCTTTTAAGGCTTTAAAGGTGATAGACACTGAATACAAAAAGCTGAGATTTGTATGTTACTGTAACTGGAAACAAAACTCCGACTCAAACAAGTACAAAAAAGCCTTAACACCTACGAATTCAAAGAATACTAAGAGATTTACTTAACGATAGAAAATACCACTGCCCTCTTTGTTTTTGTACTTCTTCTGGTAACAGGTCCCAAGAATTGATGACTTCGTGATAACTTGTATGTTACGAGTAGTTTGTTCATTCTTGGCTTTTTTACTCAATTGGTATGTCCTCTGAGTTGTCCAGATTTGGTAAAAAGAAAAAGAGGACGTATGAAATATATCGGCTCATTGTTCTTTCACTCACCACCCACTTTCATCAAGTAATTATACTCATGCCCTCGGCCGAGAGCACTTTTAGTACCGGCCTTGATACAAACCACTACTTTGTCTTCTTTACTACCTTTCTGTAGGCGCTTTATATGTTAATATGCTCAACCTAAGCTTATGAACAGCTAAGCTTTACATGACACATTTACGACACAGTCAGTCAGTAACAACGTAGAACTTCGTACGTACGTACATCAGTTCGAGTTGCCACACCACATTAGCACAGATATGCAGTTGTCGATTCAAACCCCGTAGTGGTAGAGGTAATAAGAGTATAAGCAGTAATCGGGAAGATTAGTGTCTAGAGATGTTATTTAAAGAGTATAATACAGTGAAATAAATTTGGGAAGAGAAAAAGAAAGGAACATGAAGAATTCAGATTATAATTTGGGAGAACACAAAGAGTGTATGCACCTGCGTCATTGCAAACGATTCTGAGCCATGTCATTCAGGGTCTCTAACCATCGGTTGCTATCATCTCGCGGTCCCCAACCAGGTAGTCTACACCTACCGACATGACTCAGACCACTTGTCAGTGACTTCATGGACTTGTGCCACGATACAACGAGGAGTTTCATGTGCCGCCGTTCTGGATATCCTTGATTTCTTGGAGGACTATAATATGCCGAGCAACCGACCTAGGAAAATATTGGGTGAAATACAGGACTTTCTTTAAGGTATGCAAAAAGCAGAAAATACTGGATCATCTTACCAATTTATGGAAAACTAACTTGCGCAGTCGACTATATTCCCTTGGTTATAAATCCTATGTCCATCATGATGTGTGCATTTAAAACCTAGTGAGTCATAGTTTATATAAATACAGTATACACGTGGAATCCTGTTTCCTACTTTGTACTAGGTGATGGGATTTTTTGTAAGACATTGAATTAAAGCAAACACGTTTATGCCATTCAGGTAAAGCTGACGCCATGATATTCTCTTATTTCGATGGGGACCGCTCATGACTTCGCTTTCCTTAGAGTCTCTTAATGCTATAATCTCTTTCTTACGGTGATAACCCAGCTATTCCTATTGCTTAGTATTCTTGGCCACCAAATCACTCGACAAGACCCCAAATCAGAACACGGTTGAACAGGAAAGAGATTATATTCAAAATAACAAGGTTAGATGAAAGTAAGAAGCACAATAGGGAAAAACGTTAGTATATTTATAGTTTACATGGCCGGTAAGAGTAGAGGGTATTCGTAGGTTACTAGTATTCGGTCATAGGTGTCTTCGAAATACTGCTCGTATATCGTGGGACCATCGAGTAAGTAATGCAGTTGTTGGGAAACGGGTACTAGGTAAGGATGGAAATCAATTGATGACGTAGTGAAACTTCATCAGTTGAGATGGCTGGGACACGTGTTACGTATGCCCAACGACCGACTGCCTCGACGTGCGATGTTCAGTGGTATAGGAGTAGGTTGGAAGAAAGCTAGGGGCGGCCAGACCAAAACATGGCACAAGTCCATGAAGTCACTGACAAGTGGTCTGAGTCATGTCGGTAGGTGTAGACTACCTGGTTGGGGACCGCGAGATGATAGCAACCGATGGTTAGAGACCCTGAATGACATGGCTCAGAATCGTTTGCAATGACGCAGGTGCATACACTCTTTGTGTTCTCCCAAATTATAATCTGAATTCTTCATGTTCCTTTCTTTTTTCTCTTCCCAAATTTATTTCGCTGGATTATACTCTTTAAATAACATCTCCAAACCCTAATTTCCCCGATTACTGCTTATACTCTTATTACCTCTACCACTACGGGGTTTGAATCGACCACTGCATCTCTATGCTAATGTGGTGTGGCAACTCGAACTGATGTACGTACGTACGAAGTTCTACGTTGTTACTGACTGACTGACTTTTACATGAGGAGATTCTATAGTATTCTCCAACTATCGACTGGTGCTGATTGGTTAAGAATTAGCCAATCAGCGTGCACCAAAGCAATCGTGCATTGAGCACGCTTTAATCCAGTCTATGTCCCGCTAACACTTAAAAATGTAGTTTATGTGGCGAACGGTCGAACTGAATGTTTCAATACAATAGATATAGTGGGAAGATAGTGTTAAGAACAAAAAAGCCCTGTAAAATATCCTAAAACCTCAATCGGTAGGGCGGTGGCCTACTGATTAATGTACTCATCGTTTATCCATTGAGCTGCATATTGTCACATCTATTTTAATTTAGGAAGACAAAGAGTATCATCCAAAATATATGGTCTTCAGACAATACATATATGTCTCAATTAACACCTTTTCCAGTCTAGCTACGTTAAATTGCAAGTCCTATCTTTCTTTCAGAATGACTGTCACTTACACCAATAACTATTATCCGAAATTTTATTTACATCCACTATGTAATCCTCAATGTGAATAAAGATCATATATTTCAGGTAGTAAGATTCTTGGTTTTTTGGTAAGCTTAATCGTCGTACCTTCAGTTATGTCAGATTAGTGTAAATAGAAAGTAGACAGTGTTATTTCCTTAAATAATTCCATTCCCCATAGTGGAATTCACTTTCGTTTCCCAGGTAGCCTTTGTTGACTCGACAGCTTAAAAATGATCACTTCACAAATCAACTAGCTTCTTGTCTTTTCATCACTATAGATCGCTATCTTTAAGGACTCAAAAGTTCAGATGGTTCAGTAAGAGTTAATGACAATGACCACCACCGTTTTGATGCAAGTTAACCAAATGATGCTGTGGATAATTTTATGTAAGTTTCTTAAAATAACATTTATTGAATTAGAAAATTTTAAAACAATAATAAATGAAAAGGAAATAATATATTTGTAATATCCCAATGAGTAGAAAATTATCACATGAAAAGGAAATGTATCATTCCTATTCTCGCTGAATATGTGGTCCGTCTCAAGCAAACTACAAGATTTCGTCCCCCAAACTAATAAAATTAATATTGTCTACAGAAGACATGCATCGACACGTCCTTCTGTAGATCCTCGCTAGCCTAGTTTTTAAGCACCTCAATAGCAACATAGCATAATATAATCAGACTGTCAAACATCCCTTCAATTTCCTATCTTTTATTCAACTTAGTGTTTACATTAGCACCGCACTTTGAAGTTTCTCTATACTAATTTTCTCAATTGTAATTAATTTTATCGTGTACTGATAATTCCAACAGTCAATTGCCTAAATGATTTCAAATCAACTTTAACTATTCATATGATTGTCTCTAAAAGCCTGTGATGTTTAGTCTGCAATACTGGATTTAAATGTTTCATTTATTTGTTTAAACACATAAACAATGGTACAACGAGGCACCGAACAGATATGCGCCACATAAATCATCTTAGAGCTGGGATGCTGCCCGGGTGCCCACCCCGAGCCTTTGACCTAAAGTTTAATCCACAAGGCAGTGGAGCGACGTAACTAGATGCTCTCCCATCGTACCTGGTGACCAATAATAGATTCATACGCCATTTGTTTACTTAGGATCCTGGAGCTAATGTACACCACTGGTTTGGAATCAGGGTTTTCCAACTCCTCTTGGTGGACTCTCTGTATCCACCGACCCGGTTAAAGAGCTGGAAATTCGCCTTTTGTCTTCTCAATTTCGTAAACAACACCCCCGCCACGATAAGGCAGTGAGTAGGACTTCCCTGGCAATGGTTGTATACACGTGTCCTTGTGAGAGTATTTCGAGGGAGAACTGACTCTCCCCACTCCCGGCCGTACCAGATCATTTAGGGGCACTGGAGTTAAAGGTCGATCTCACGTAGACGTACGGTCGACAGTACATACACTTGAAGTGTAGATACTATGAACTGTACTTCTCAGTTTAACAAGTTTTCTATGAGTTGCTTACTTACTAAATGCCCGTATTAAGGAAAAACAGCCTACCGCAACTTAGTCTTCCAAATACTTCTGTTTACTAATTATTTTCAAGGCATAATTTGATATGAAATCAGTCTGCTTAAGTACCGAATTCTGCATTATCGTTTAAACCTAAAGATCGAATTACATGTCCTTACACTTACAACTAATAACTACTAAATAATTTCAATTGTTGAGATTATGAGTCAATCGATGCTAGACCACCATGGAAAGCCTGGAAGCATTGGACGGCCGTTCCATCCTGTTGTGGGACTCCTCAGCAGTGCGCATCCACGATCCCGCCTCGCGGGGTTCGAACCCAGGGTTTACTGGTCTCGCGCGCGAGCACTTAACCACTAGACCACTGAGCCGGCATCCAACGGTGTTAATGTCTAACTTCAACTAATCCACGAAATCGAGCGACACATCCACCATTGTCATCAGTGAGTTACTATCTCACAACTGACCCAAGTAACTGAACATAATAAAGTATACTAAACGCTATCTTAACTCATTACCACTTGGAGATAACAAGAATGAATTTTGTTAGGCTGACAAAATGTGGTTGGTTATGCACTTTGAGTGTACTCTAATCGTAATATATTTCTTCCGTACATTGTAAAAATGTTTGGTCAATAACTTATCGAGTAACTTTTGTTTCCATGATCAATTAACACTTATGAAACGGAACCAAAATGCTTTTAGTGGAAGTAATTTCATACTTACTGATTAACGCCAGTTTAATTAGGTGTCATGTGATCCCTTGGAGCCAAAGACACTTTATCTTTCACTGGTAAAAATGAATTTTGGCTCTTGAACACAGAAAATATGGAACTAGTTACTCAAAGATACAGAATGTACTTCTCGAGGACAGAAGTATGGATGAACACGGATTCTTTATATTTTATAGCTAGGTAATGTGAATCACATAACTTTGTTTTCCATGCCTACTATCTCGTTGGTTTATGATAAAACATTTCTCTTACAGTTATTGGGGTGAACATATTCACATTCATTTTATGGCTGTGCCTTTTACTTCTTGCTCAAATTAAACGGACAAATATAGAACAGCCAGTCCTCATCGTCACTGCGCATCCAGATGATGAATGTATGTTCTTTGCCCCGACTATACTGAAATTAGTAAATAGCGGATACAACGTCGACCTGCTGTGCTTTACCACTGGGAATTATGGTGGAGTTGGTCATGAAAGGAAGCGTGAACTGGACGTTGCAGTGAAGAAATTGGGAATCCGACGTTCAACCATTATTGATTCAGATACATTTGAGGATGATCCTAGTTCATTTTGGCCAACAGAGGAATTAATTGATATTGTCTGTCAAACATGTCATAAGTTCCGTTCTCGTTCTGTGGTGAGTTTCGACGAATTTGGTGTAAGTGGACACAGAAACCACTGTGTACTTGCAAAAGTCTTAAAAAAAGCGTGTAGAGACCAACTTATTCCCCAACTATTTGTCCTACAAAGTGTTTCCATTTTGCGTAAATATTGTTTCTTAATTGATCTATTCTTTTCTATTTTACTTAAAGAGAACTTCATTTGTTCACCTTTCCGATTACTGTACGTCCCTTATTTCAGTATGATAAGTCATAAATCACAGTTGGTTTGGTTCAGATGGTTATACATGTACTTTTCTGTCTATATGTACAAAAACTGCATCGTACGATATGAACGCTATTCCTGAAGAACTTTGTAACATTCACTTGTTTTATCTGCAGCTGATTTTTTTATACGCTCAGTATTTTTGTCCCTTACGGTTTTCAGACTTAAAAATATCACAACTTCACTTGCGATCGAATAGTCCCCAGAGCTTTATAATATGAAAAGTTCATATTTACAGTAAGTCATCATGATAGTTCTGGGAGCCAAGTAACAACCAGTTAAAAGCAAGTTGTTAAAGACCTATGATATGACAAAGATTATTTCTATGTTCATTGTAAATGGTACGCAAGTATACGCATAAAAGCTCTCTAAATATACTTCCGACTATCAACCTTCAATACAATAGGCTCAAAGTTGGTCCTTTTCGAATGTTAATTAGATAGCATGGGTCTAATGAGTGTTGACCATCTCGACAAGTACATAGTTAGATGAGAAGTTGCGGATTGTTCTTCGGGCAAATTAACTTTTATAGATAATTATGTTCATTTGGTTTAATTCTATACAATATGAACACTTTATTTATCTTGCATGACAAAATAAAGTAGCGTTAAATATTGTTTTGTTACACAGATAATCACAAAATTATCAAGAATATTATTTTCTACCTTTCAGACGTTTATGCTCTTCCATGTTATCCAACAGTTTTGAATATTTAATCTGCAACCTCCGAGCAAATGTCTCATCACACAAAATCTATATAAAGTGGAAAAAAATGTATCAGCCGGAAGGCAAACTAGTTCTTCAGTTATGTCTCATACTTTTTCCGATTTGCCTGCTATTATGCTAGTTGCAAGTAGGAAATAATGAATGAATTAGTGATCCATCTAATTCAGTCCCACAATAATTTAAGCACAAACAAACGACTAAATTTAATGATTAAAGATAGTAAGAAAGATCTTCAATCTACAAAAATTAAAACCTGACTATTGGGTTTGCGAACATTGTTTTAATTAGCTGTCTGCTAAGGAACCGATGAGGAATAAGGAATACTAGGCATCTGTTTGGGACTCATCATGAGTGAGATCCCTACAAACTGTCTGCTTTTGTGGTTCAGTGACACTACCACAAGTCACAGATGTGCATAGAGAGAATGACTCAAACAAAAGCTAAGGCCTTAAATTTCCTGATATCAAACCAACCTGTTTGGTATGGCAGAGTTTCAAAGAACGAATGTTCCGTCGAACAAAGTTTGGCTGGGTGATCACAATTGACGAGTCTAACTATCACATGAAGGATGCAGCTATAATCTGAGTGCAATTGTCAGAACACTTAAATTGAATTGTGGTTTTGAACCACACTACGGGTGCTTTGATCGGGACTAATTGAAGACATCTTTCAAATCAGAGCTTAAGCTACTCAAGAATACTTAACTGAAACAGCAATCCGAATCTGGCTTAAAATAAATAGGCTAATATCAAAACCCTAGTCTACAGCTAGGTACTGGGTAGACGGGGTTAACTGAAATCGGTCGAGCAACTAATCGCATAGTTCAAACTGATATTTGAGTTAGCTGTTAGCAGAATTAGTTTTTTTTATAGTGATAATTACTGTTTAGACCGTTTTCCTGATGAGCAATGTTTAACTTTCTGGCTAAATTTCCCAAATCGTCATTTAAATTATGAAATTGATGTCTAGATCTTTAGAGGCTATCGCTGGTCAATTAAAATTCTAAGGAAACAAAATTCAAGTGTACCTGTTCATTCGCAACTTCTGGTTTGAGTCCGACGTTAGCTGTATTGATAGCGTAATCCAACAATGTTTTACTTGTTTTTGTCGCTTTCTTATTTGCTTTCTTCCGCACTTTTTCTTTATTCCTTTACTTCTGGATGAGGAGGAAGCAATGGGTGTGAGGTTATTTTCAATGTGATGGTTATTATTCTGGCACTCTGATTTTTATGTATGCATCAATACCAACTGGCGACCTACCAAAGGGTAAAATGTCATCTGCTGGCGAGTTAAGACCATCTTCAAATAGGAGCTGAGCAGCTAGTGCTAAGGAAGCTTCTTCATTTTCTTTATCTTCTAAAGAACGTAAATGTGAATACTTCTCGATCTCTTTCATATAATAATCATGCACATCTCCTGGCTCGGCAAAACAGTTTGGAATAGGATCTGAAATGGCAATTAATACAAATAATTAAGATTTTTCAAAAATTAATGTAATATAACTACAAAGATGTTACCTTCACTTCCTCAAGAAAACAACATATAAATCGTCTCACATAAATGTTAACAAACATTAATGTCGATTTTTGAACAAAAAACCAACCACACCTGTATTTTTCGCTTCAAGGGTTTTGATTTCAAATTCAGACAAGGAAGGGGACATTCCCGATTCCTTGGAATTATAATAATTTGGAAAAAGGCTTCGAATTTCATTTTCTTTACTTTCGGAAATCACTGAATCTATATCTTTTACTCTCCGTAGCCAGTTTGAAAGTCTGTATCTGCAAATAGGACATTGATATGCAGTGAAGTTTAAAGCCTGAACTATGCAGTCCTTGCAGAATTGGTGGTTGCAAGGGAGATGAACTGGTTTGAACAAGACATTAAGGCAGATTGAACAAGTTAAGTCCATTGAGCACTGGCAGCAATTCGAGTACAGCAGAAATCAGTCAATGATTCACAGTATAGTGGTTTGGAATATACCTGCAAGGTTCAAAAAGATTGATAGCCGATGAAACATTTTGTGAATGTTTTTTTAATTGTAACTAGCGAATAAAGATGACATATAACGCAAAGTTCTTATCAAAGTTTAAAAGAACAAGAACTGTGAACATATAAATACATATTTTGGTGACAAGACTCATCTTTTGCATGAAGTAACCTAAAAACAACTAGGTTCTCATTGAAAAATGAGAAGTGATTTTAAATATTTGCTTATTTGATCTTCCAGACAATAATGAGACCAACAGAGGTAGGTTCCAGAAACGATGATTCAACCTAAGCAATACGTTCGGAGGCGACCTATAGTGGGATTTCGGAGGGATTCAGACGATGGGCATCTACGCTGGGTTCTCTCAAGACTTGTGGAGTCTTCCCTAGGCATATTCTTTCTCAAAAATTTCTGCTAAAAGATCCTTTTTTCAGCACAACTTTTTCCTAGAAGATGTTTAATATATATATGCGAATGCGCACTTTACATTCTGATTGTTATTGTGTGGCGTATATGTATTTGGTGCCCCTTTGTACTAATATTTGTGTTCAAATAAATAAAATGTACAGTAAACGTCTGGAACTCTTCCGCAAAATCGACCGTTCATGGTGACGTCTTAATTTCATTGGTGTATTGTGGACCTATGGTTGTGTAACAGTTTATTTTGTCATGTTAATTGGTTACCTTTGCACTTAGTATTTTGCCAAGGGATTTACAGTGATCCACACCACTAATAATCTATGTTGGTTGCTTGTAGAACCTACAGAAAGGATCTTACAGATGAGGAACTTCTAAAAACGTCGATATAGATCAGTCATTAAGTATTGAATTATAGAATTTAGTGATATATATATATATATAGTTGAAACTAGTAGCCGTATGTGTATTTTAGGTGATTATCTGAATATGTCATGGAATAAGAAACCTCTCTATAGCTAAGCACACACTTATTGATACGATTCTTTGCACCAGTTCATCCGAGTAAAATCTCTCTTAGAGTGGATTCCAGTAGACAGTCGTTTGTGCGCTGTCCGACTGAACGGAACAGTAAGGATCCGAAAGATAGGGACACTCGTCGTTGCCTCTTCGTCGTCTCTGCCTATTCTCCCACTGACTGCAGCGCAGATGATGTAAAAGATGAGTTTTACATAAAACTCTCCGACCTCCTCCTTAAAGCTAGGCGTTCGGATGTAGTAATAATGGCCGGTGACTTTAATGCTCAAGTAGGTAAACTAAGCGATAGGGAAAGACACCTGGGTGGATCTTATAGCATCGTGGCTCAAAGAACAGATAATGGCGACCGTCTGTTGCAGCTATGCTCAGATAACCGCCTGTTCCTTGCAAATACTAACTTTAAGCATAAGGAAAAACATCTTTTAACATGGAGACCCCCTAATTCGTCCCAACGTTGGACCCAAATAGATCACATCGCTATCAGCCACCGATGGAGGGGCTCGATAGAAGACTGTCGCTCATTCTGGAGCACATGCTTAGATTCAGATCATGCTCTAGTACGAGCGCGTATCTGTCTGCGTCTTACTGGACGTAGGAAAGACGCTGCAAGTAAACCTCTTAGGGCCCTACTTAATGATAGTCAAGCTAAGAGTATATTTCAGGAACAACTAGGAAAACAGTTAGGCAGCCATGTATGTGATGCCCACCCCGAGGCAGCATGGAATGATATCCGAAAAGCTGTGGAAACAGCAGTGATATCTGCTAGTAAGGTAAACCACAAGGTTAGGGAGCAACACTGGATCTCAGCAGCATCTATCGCACTGATAGATGCTCGGAAACTCATTCCACCTGGCTCTGAACATAATGAAGAGCGGAGTCAGCTTAAGCGCAAGCTGACAAGAAGTCTACGCAATGATCGTGAACAGTGGTGGGTAGCGAAAGCAAGAGAGATGGAAAAGGCAGCGGCAATAGGTAATAGCAGACAATTGTTCAGACTTGTTAAGGAAACCGGTATTAGGAAACCGACTGTTAGCGAAACAATCTCAGAGAAAGATGGACATATTATACATTCTCAATCCAGGAGATTGGATCGATGGGCAGAACACTTTAGGGATCAGTTCAACTGGCCTTCAGCCACACTTCGGTTTCCCACGATCTCTAGTCAACCTGAATGGCAAGTTAATGTAGGTCCTCCGTCTCTTTACGAAGTTGAAAAAGCCATAGGAAATCTGAAGCGAGGGAGAGCAGCAGGCCCTGACAGGTTTACTCCTGAGATTTTTAAGGATGGTGGTTCAGTATTAGCAGTGAGATTAACTGAGGTCTTAGGTAGAATTTGGGAACTGGACGTAATCCCATCTGACTGGTCTCAATCACTGATTGTGCCAGTCTATAAGAAAGGACAAAAGTCCTCTTGTGACAATCACAGAGGAATCAGTTTGACTAATATAGTGTCTAAAATATTAGCTTCAATAATACTTCGACGCCTAACTAAAGCTCGTGAAGAGCAGACTAGAGAAAATCAGGCTGGTTTTCGACCTGGACGTGGTTGTATAGACCAGATATTCACACTACGTCAGGTTCTAGAACACAAACACACGTTCAGACGCCCCACAATCGTAGTATTTCTCGACCTTAAAGCGGCATTCGACTCTGTTGATCGTAAGGTTCTATGGCAGTGTTTGTCACTGAAAGGAGTACCAAAGAAGTACATTAACCTTATAAAGGCTCTCTACTCGAACACAACTGGTAGAGTGAGAGCTTATGACGAACTGTCATCAGAATTGATTACCTCAAGTGGTGTTCGTCAGGGCTGTCCACTCTCCCCATTCTTGTTCAACTTTGTCATTGACGTACTTTTAGAGATAACACTCTCCTCATCTAAATTTACAGGGGTTGAACTTCTACCGGGAGGTTCACTTGTTGACTTAGAATATGCTGGTGACATAGCTTTATTTGGCGAAGACGCTGACAAAATGCAGATTCTTCTGACCACTCTAAGCAACAATGCAGGCATCTTCGGGATGCGATTTTCCCCTCGAAATGCAAAATGTTGCTTCAGGATTGAGTTGCATTGGCACCCGAACTAATGATAGGGAGTGAAGTAACTGAGCGTGTCGATCGCTTCACTTACCTTGGAAGTCTCATCAGCCCTTGTGGTCTGGTGTGTGACGAAATCTCAGCACGGATACAGAAGGCTCGACTAGCTTTTACCAACTTGCGTCATTTATGGCGTAGGCGAGATATCCGTCTATCAACCAAAGGACGGGTTTACTGCGCAGCAGTTCGTTCCGTCCTACTTTATGGCAGTGAAACATGGCCTGCAAGAGTAGAGGATATTCGTAGGTTACTAGTATTCGGTCATAGGTGTCTTCGAAACATTGCTCGTGTATCCTAGGACCATCGAGTAAGTAATGCAGTTGTTAGGAAACGGGTACTAGGTAAGGATTGCAAATCAATTGATGACGTAGTGAAACCTCATCAGTTGAGATGGCTGGGACACGTGTTACGTATGCCCAACGACCGACTGCCTCGACGTGCGATGTTCAGTGGTATAGGAGTAGGTTGGAAGAAAGCTAGGGGCGGCCAGACCAAAACATGGCACAAGTCCATGAAGTCACTGACAAGTGGTCTGAGTCATGTCGGTAGGTGTAGACTACCTGGTTGGGGACCGCGAGATGATAGCAACCGATGGTTAGAGACCCTGAATGACATGGCTCAGAATCGTTTGCAATGACGCAGGTGCATACACTCTTTGTGTTCTCCCAAATTTTGATCTCCTTATTCCTCCTTGTATCTTTTTTTTCTCTTCCCAAATTTATTTCACTGTATTATACTCCTTAAGTAACATCTCCAAACACTAATCTTCCCGATTACTGCTTATACTCTTATTACCTCTACCACTACGGGGTTTGAATCGACAACTGCATCTCGATGCTAATGTGGTGTGGCAACTCGAACTGATGTACGTACGTACGAAGTTGTACGTTGTTACTGACCGACTGAAGCCGAGAATTTAGTAAGTAGAGCTCCATCTGCGGTTCCTATTTAGCAAGTACCTCAAATATATCTGTTCATCATACAGACATCTCAGAAAATTCAGTGGAGTTACCTATGTATGTCGAAAAGATCTTGCATTTGATAAAAATATTCTGAAAGACTGCTACAGTCTGTAGTGTTAATAAACGGAACACTGGGTTTCTACTGTCAAAAGAAGTAAATCTAACAGTTCCATAAACATTACCCAAAATTTGAAAACCAGTTTATAAATTGCGTACAGTTGGTTCTAGATCTGTAATATAACGAAAACGATCAGTGATGATCCGAAGAAACCGTTGAGGTGCATAATAACCCGGGAGTGAGATCTACAGATATTTGGGCAACAAATTAATTGTAAAAATCTATAGGCCACAAAATGTTTTGCAGTAAACTAATTTGTTCTTGAACCTAGAAGTTGGTAAGAACTGGTCTAAATAGATTAATGGATTAAGGTACTCAATCTCCCACGATGCGCGTGATCATTTCAATATGAGATACACGCAAGGGAAGCAACCTAACTAAAAGTTTATGAATAGCGAATTTAAAGGTAGAATGATAGATTTATGGCTACTATTGATTCAGAACTGTAAGCTTACTTTACTATTTTTCCAGCTGCATGTTACTGTCGATAACATAAGTTTGCAGTCACGTATTATGTTTATCACAAGCAACTGGAAATTTCGTATCTTTTACGCAAGATCCCACTAAAAGTACAACTGATTTGAACCTAACATTGTTGTCCAAATGATTGCTCAATACTATAACCTATATTGTTGCAAACATATAGAAAGTCATTTCAACAAATATTCTTGTATATTTTGTAACGGTGAGACTATAATTTACGGACGACTTTTGAGCGACGCTGAAGTGGCCTTGAGAGTGAACAACTAATTAGGACTAAATGAGGGTTATAAAGCAGTTAGAATTCCCATTTACAGTTGATGGTTAGGGTTAAAAAATAGATTCAGGGTTTTCATCACGAACTGGCATCAGCTATAATGCCAAAACTCTATTTAGCCAAATGTATGGATGAATTCCGCGCCCAAATTCGTGACTCGTTATCTTATATCTGATTGGTTCGTCGATAAATTATAGTCTCGCCAATTTATCAGTGAAAAGATTGGTTTCGTATTAGTTTGAGGGAACTTATCAAGCATCTTTTATGGAACAATAGTTCCTGAGCGAATATGTTGTCAAGAAGATACTCTCGCTGGAATTCTTATGGAGACTTTTTAAAGTGCTCAATCTCATCATAATTTCTCCAGAATCATATGTGTAGACCGATCTACTTGTTCTTTGTTGGATGTGAGGGTCATACAGGTCAGTAAGGGCGCGTATCGAAATAAGTATACTTTACATCCAGTAGTTTATTAATTCGGAGAAAGATATTCAGTCAGGCAATAAGCGTTACTTACTTTATACAAGAAATGGTTTTGCAAAACGTCTGTACATGTGTAAGAGGCCCATTTGGATAAAACAATTTAAGTTGTCAAGTTCCTCTTTAGAAGGCATAAATAATAGCCAGTGTGAAAGTGAAGAACTTTTTCATATAAGTAGCACATGTTTTGTGGTTTTGATCTGGAAATTCCCGAGATATTAGTACCTAGCTAGGTTTATAACAAAACTTTCTAGTCTGGGGTCTTCTGTGAAATTCCCATTAAATTTATGCAAATCTTCGGATTCACCGCTGCTTTTCAGAAAGTGGCTACTCTTCATACAGTTGCAGATCTGCAATGGAAAACTGAGCTTGGTGGAACATTGTTTACAATGGTGAAAGAACGAAGCACTGAGCATAACCTGATAATACTGGGAAACTAACTTGAAAAAAAGCAGATTTAAAATAAAAAGTGGTAGAACCCAATAGGACAACAAAATCCATTTCCATATTAAATTACAACTAACCCCCGAAGTAACCATCCGATTATTAGCAGCGCCCTTCACAAGGTAGCTCATTTCGATACATTTAGACTGACTGCATGCCACATGTATTCGTGAACAAATAATGTACGTATGTGAAAGATATCTGTTCTTACACTAAGTGCATAACAATTTTCGCACACTCATTCATCATTTATATTTCAGTCTAACTCTCCATGTTTTATGATATTTTGAATTTCAACGCGCGCTATTTAAAAAGGACAGTGGTATTTTTCCTCGCTGGGTAAATTTCTTTGTTTTTATCGTTTAATACCTATCAAGACTACTGTTTTCACTTTAATTGAATTTATTTCAGTTAAAGTATTCTACTAGAGTATCGTTTTTACTGTTCTATCAATTAATTTTGTCGTTGGTACTCTTGAGTACCTCTTTTTCAACTGTATCTGTTAGTACTTTTGGTCCTAGCAATCTACAGCTCTTCACTTTTTGGTCATTGATTATTTTTTGTTTCTGAGTATCATCGCATTTTGAAAAGAACCCCTCCTAAATGACCGGACAGTGTAAAAAAAGCAGTTGCCAACGTCCGGGTTGTCGTTATCCTGTTGAAAGCGGCATGCAGTGCGACGAGTGCAAAGGCTGGTACCACGAAGTTTGCACGAACTTAACGCCTGCTGCTTTCAAACGGTTCAGTAAGAAGGGTTGTGTGTGGCTTTGTCAACAGTGCTGCTCGGATGCAAACAGCTTGTTAACCGAGGCCATCTCACTGGTTGATGCTGCAAAGAAGTGTTTTAACAAGCATAGTCGGAACGCGTCAAACAGCACTCGATCTGTTGACACGCAAATCAACGTGAAGGAAACTAAGGTTAGTCCGGTGATAGATGACTCACGCCCGTCAAAGAAGGAAAAGCAGTCTCCAAAGGGGCCTGCCTTAAACAAAAGCTCAAGAAAAGTAGGGTCTTCTGTTCCCCGTCTCCCAGATGGGATCCAACAGGAAACACCTAGGAGCCGCAATCGCAAGGCTCGATCGGTTTCAAGCGGTAAACATAACCCGACCTCTCAGGTCGTCGACAACCCCCCAAAACCCAACACTAGGTTTGACGCAACTGTTATTGCTTCTACCAGCACCGTTGACGAATGGGTAAAGGTTGTAAGGAAGAAAAGTAGGGATATAAAAGGGAAACCTGCCCCCGTAAAAGTGGTTGAAAAATCGAAAGCTGATCATAGCGACAGATCAGCTATTTTTCATAGAATCAAGGAGAGCGAGAGCTCTGAACCTAAAGCTCGTTTTGAGCATGACATTGTACTGATTAGGCAGCTGCTTAATCAACTCATGCCTCAAAATATGACCGGGGTCACCTTGCTAAAGGTGTACAGACTAGGGAGTCTAACGGACTCGAAACCAAATCATTCCAGACTGCTTAAAGTAGTATTCGGCTCTTCGAACGAACGTGACCTAATTTTACAAAATGGACACAAATTAAAGGGTTCAGGAGTCTTTATCCGAAAGGACCTACCGTTGGCAGACCGTGTTAAAAGACGGGAAGCCGAGAAAGAACTACAACATAGGTTAGACGCTGGCGAAAAGGACCTGAAAATTGTAAATTTTCGGGTTGTAAGACTTCGACAGAGAATGATGCCGAAGCCACTCTGGGTGAAGCACGAAGGCACTTAAACAGGCTTCGGATCTGTTACACCAATGCACGAAGCTTACTTAATAAGCGATCGGAACTAGGTGTACAGATTGACTCTACAAAGCCAGATATAATCGCAGTAACAGAAACCTGGCTGACACAGGCTATAGATAGTATAGAACTTGATTTCGAGGGCTTTACGTTAGTAAGGGCCGACAGAACACAAAAGCGCAAAGGAGGGGGAGTAGCTCTATTCATTAGGAATGCTATCCCATTTGCCATTATCGATAGTGTATCCCATGAGAGTGGGACGTGTGAATTAGTTAGTCTTCGCTTAAAATGCAAGGGACAAGAGCTGCTGATTGGTTTGGTCTATCGCAGTCCAAGCTGTGAGGCAAATGAGATCCTGTTAAGCAGTCTCAATACTTGGTCCCAAAGTGGTCGATGTCTAATCCTAGGGGACTTTAATGCACCTATGGTAGACTGGGAAAATCTGCGAACTAAATCGTCGGAGAATTCTTTCGAGCAGGAACTAGTTGATGCGGTTATCACATGTGCTCTAGTGCAACATGTGAAAGAAGCGACAAGGTACGATCCGGACACTGAATCATCCTTATTAGATCTTATACTGACTCACTATGAGGATGATGTTGCGAACCTCCATCATATGCCACCCTTAGGTAAAAGTGACCACGCAGTTTTAACTTTCGACTTCCATATAACTGCCAGTCATGAGGACGCGTCAGTCCAGTCCAGACCCAACGTCTGGAAAGCAAACATACCAGACATCATGCACTCAGCATCGTTAATAGATTGGACAATAGACCCAGAGTCCTCCATTGAAACGGCCTGGGACGCATTTCGAAATTCATACTTAAAAGTTACCACACCTCACATCCCTTGGACTATACCAAAGGGGCCGAAAAACTCACCACCATGGTTCAGTAGGGAGGTCCGTATCCTTCTCCGTAAGAAAAGGAAAATGTGGGATAGATTTAGGTTACTGGGGACTGATGAGTCAAAATCTCAGTATCGAAAGGCTCGGAACACTTGTGCCTCGACCCTCCGTAAGTCTAGAAAATTGTACGAAGAAAAACTTGTTAAGGAATCCATAGAATGTCCTAAACGCTTGTATTCCTATATAAACCAAAGGACAAGGAGAAAAGGAAATATTCCTGCTCTATGGGGAGACAGTACTGCTTCATCATTAGTGGAGGACGACTTTGGTAAGGCTCAAGCGTTCTCGAACTACTTTAGCAACGTGTATACCATAGAAGCGCCCTTCTCGTCAGCGTATACAGATCCCCCATACATACACTGGATAGCGTGACCATTAAAGAACTCGATGTCTTTGGTCTGCTAAATAAGCTTGACATAGGTAAATCCACGGGGCCCGATGAATTACATCCTAGGCTACTGAAGGAATTATCTAACTTCGTTGCAAGCCCTTTAAGTACATGCTTTAACCTATCCGTTACGCAGGGTCGCTTACCGAAAGATTGGAAAAACGCCATAGTAAGTCCTGTCTTCAAAACAGGTACGAAACACAAACCTGAGAACTACCGCCCCGTTAGCCTAACTAGTGTGGTTGTTAAAATCTTAGAAAAGATTATTCGGAAGGAGCTGTTTAAGTATCTCGATAAAAACCGGATCCTCTCGGAGAAGCAGCACGGCTTCAGAATAGGTTATTCTTGTCTCACTAACTTATTAGTGGCTCGTGAAAGCTGGTGCGCTCTTAAGGACCAAAAGCTACCTGTAGACGTCGCCTTCATTGATTTCAGTAAAGCTTTTGATAAAGTTCCGCACAACCGGCTGTTATATAAGTTAAGAAAAGTCGGGATTGGAGGCAATTTATTGATGTGGATAAAAGACTTCTTAGTTGGGCGTCAACAAAGAGTAAGGGTGAACTCAAAGTTATCTAGCTGGGAAACTGTGCTTAGTGGAGTGCCCCAGGGTACAGTTTTGGGGCCAGTGCTATTCCTCTTGTATGTAAATGACCTTCCTTGTCTCCTATCATCATCGGTCTTGCTATATGCTGACGATGTCAAGATATGGAGAACGATACGATGTAAGAGTGATAGCTTAGAACTTCAAAATGACCTGAAGAAGTTATCTGAATGGTCTCAAACATGGCAGTTGCCGATAAATACTTCCAAGTGTGTTGTGATGCATATCGGTCATCAAGGCACAGATACATACACGATGAATAACACTGAGCTACCTGTCGTCCAGACATATAATGACTTAGGAGTTATCGTTAGTCAAGACTTAAAGACTACTGCACACTGCCGTGCAATAGCCGCCAAAGGTTTTAGAACGTTATGGTCAATACGTAGGGCTTTTAGTCATGTCGACGCCAAAACGTTTTTGACTTTGTATACAGTGTTCGTTCGTCCTAAACTTGAGTACTGCATACAAGCGGCTAGCCCCTGCTTAAAAAAGACAGTGAGCTTCTGGAAAAGGTTCAGAGAACGGCGACTAAGCTGGTTCCCGGAATAGCGAAGCTTCCGTATGAATCTCGACTGGCCAAGCTGAACCTTTTCCCGTTGTCATATCGCAGAACTAGAGGCGACTTGATTACAGTCTACAAATTGCTTAGTGATAAATTTGCACCTAACATGCCCTCATTTTTCTTGTCTTCCAAAACAGAGAATTTACGAGGACACTCCAAAAAAGTTCATAAGCCGAGAACAAATTACTTGTCAGCTGACTATCGACTTTCCCATCGAATCATCAACGAGTGGAATTCACTACCTCAGCACGTGGTTGAGGCTCCATCCGTCGACTCTTTCAAAAGAAAGTTGGATCAACTGAGAGACCACCATTGCCAGGACTAACATAGGCCATCGAGCCTCCTGTCCTTCCCAAACTGAAACTGAACATTACGAAGGACAGGATGCTGGATGTCCTATGTTAGTCCATGTGATGATGTTCTGTCAAGTGATACAACTTCCTTCCGAATGGGTTGACAGACTGTGGCGTTTGAATTAACTAATGATTCTCTTGTACTTATTGAATGCATGAGTTCGAATTCCAAATACAATACATTCAGTCTTCAGTAATAAGAATGTAGGTTGGTGAACCTGTGTTAATCCTGACAGATTGCCTTCCAGTGGAGGTCCAGTTTCCCCTTGAAAATATTCACTGATGGGGCTGATACCACTTGTTTGGGTAAGGCGTTCCAATCATTGACTACTCGATGAGAAAAACGGGACCCCACTTTAAGTTTATTAGATCGCGGTTTATGAACCCTCTTGCTATGACCTCGGAAATTATTAGTGCTGAAGGGAGCAAAAACATCAGACATATTAACACCGAAATCATAATTAAAGATATGAAATGCCAGTATAAGGTCACCTCGTGTCCTACGATACGACAAGGGGAAAGATTTAGGCGTATTAAATGCTCATCGTAAGAGAGTTTAGAAAGACCCTTCAGTAATTTCGTTCCCACACGCTGGACACGCTCAAGTGAGTTAGTATCCTTTACTAGACACGGGCTAGCTTCTTGGATACAGTACTTTAAATGTGGTCTTACGTAGGTGGGATAAAGTTCGAA